GTCTCTGTTGGGGCATCAGTACTTCGAAGAGTTCAGGTCAATTGCTGAGGCTGCCTCTTCTGGGTCCGTCTGATGTTTCCTCAGGGGACAGGGATACTAGGTACGGATGCTGTGTCCTCGGTGCATCCAACCGCGGGGCACCTGGCGTCCATCTGTCCCATCCCTGGTCGTGTTAACTCTGTTCACTTGTAAGGCCAGGCCTGCAAGATTTCTCAATGGTAAAGTTACCATATTTTTCTTTTTGTAATCAATAAATGAATGGAGACTGTGCGAATATCCTATTCTTCTCCAAACTTTTACTTGGTGGTGACTCTTTTTTTTTTTTAAGTGTTCATTTATTTTTTGGGGGGGGGCAGGGAGAGAGAGAGAGAGAGAGAGTAGAGAGAGAATCCCAAGCAGGCTCCTCACTGCCAGCATGGAACCCATGAACCATGAGATCACGGCCTGAGCCGAGATCAAGAGTCGGACACTCAACCGACTGAGCCATCCAGGCGCCCCTACTTGGTGATGACCCTTGTCTAAATCAATTATTACTATTATGGTGGCAAAATTAGATTTTCTAACTCTGTCATTGCTTTGACATTTATTAATTGGCATTCTCCCGTAAGGAAGATTCCTGCCTCTCTCCCTCCCTGTCTCTCTTCCTTCCTTTTATCTTTTTATCAGTATAGATTCTCATTTTAACAAATAGATTATAATCCATCATTATCATTATTTAAAAAAAATTTTTTTAAACATCTATTTATTTTTGAGACAGAGACAGACAGAACATGAACGGGGGAGGGTCAGAGAGAGGGAGACACAGAATCTGAAACAGGCTCCAGGCTCCGAGCTGTCAGCACAGAGCCCGACGCGGGGCTCGAACTCACGGACCGCGAGATCGTGACCTGAGCCGAAGTTGGCTGCTTAACCGACTGAGCCACCCAGGCGCCTCATCCATCGTTAACATTATTAATTCTGATGCTCACATTGTCCCAGATTTGGCAGGTGAGAGTCCCTTCATGTTGGTGGCCGTGTCCTGTTGATAGCCCTTCATCTCCATTTTTCCTGTGTGTCTCAGCTGGGAGGGGGCAGAGACCTGGGGACTGCCCCTTGGGTTTGAAGAGGAGGTCTCCAGGTCACCACCAACAGTCATGTGCTCGAGGCCACTTTTCCAGCCACGGGATGGATGCAGATGACTCATCACTACCTTTCTGCCCGGGCCTCGCGGAGCCAAGCTGAGGACCCTGACGCGGCCGGCGTCGGGGGACCTCGGTGCGTCCCGTAGCCAAGGACCAAACCTTTCTTGGGGTAAAACAGACTTGAGTCTTTTGACACCCGGCTGTGGCAGCAGCAGCAAAATCCTGGCTGCCAGCCTATTGCTTTTGTCATTTGTCTCAGTGAAGCAAATCCAATTGGCAATGTCTTCAGGGGAAAGAGGATCAGTGAGTTCAAACGGAAGAATGTTTGCCAACTGCGTGAGGAAAACCCCCTTTGTGCTACAATGTTCTCGGCCAATCCTCTCAGCACAGTTTTGCAGGAGCCGCCTTTGGGGAGGATCCCTGCCTCGCTGCCCTCCTCTGGGGCCGGGCTCTGGCTGGGGTGGCACGAGACAGGGGGCTTATCGGCCGCCGACTTGGTTACAGTCCATGCTGAGAGGTTGGCTTCCCAGGCCAACCAGAGCCTTTTGGGAAATGTGGGAAAGAGCCGGGGTGAGAGAGGACAGTCACTGCTCATCAGAAACCATCGTCCCTAGTAGACAAAGGACCCCCGGAGCCCTCCTGGTGGAGACAGGAGAGACACGCTATAGCAACCAGGCTGGTTGCTGTCACTTTGCATGCAGACGAGTGTCTTACTGATAGAAAATTCTTGTTTCCCAAAATGACGAGAGACACGGCTTTTTGCATAATGGAGGGAAAGCCTAGCCTTAGAGTTCTGGAAAATCTCCCCTTTTGCACATGAGGCTCCGTGCCTCTGAGCCTTCGCACTTGCTGTTCCTTCTGTTAGGAATGTCCTTCCACCCGGCACGCCGGTGGATGCCATTCACCCTCCAGCTCACCACACAGAAGAGAGGACACCTGTCTCCTTTTTCTCTTCCTCTCCTCCTCCTCCATCCTTCTCTCCTTCTCCCCTCCCTCTTTGTCTCTCTCTCCCTCCCTTCCCCTCCCCCCTCCTCCAGTGGCATAACTGCCCCATCATAAGCTGACCCAGGGGTCTGGCAGAGCACAGCCCCCCGCTCAGTCCAGAGGCGCTCGGCGTCTTCGCGCGCGGCTGTGGCTCGCATACCCTTCCTTCCCCCTCCGCACGCTGAGGTCCTCAGCCGAGCCTTGTTGAATGAATGGATGGGCAGACAGACTTCCGGGACTCAGAACTATCCGGAGACCAACGCGAACTCGTGGGGCGAGCGTGTGTGCGTCCCTGCTGGGGACCTGTCTGTCCACTGCTGTCCCAGCGTTGGGCACGGAGCCTCCCTTTTGCCACTCTTCCACCACTAAAGACTGGCCAAGCACGCAGCCACTGTGCCGGTCCGGGGAGGTCAGACGTGAAGAAGACGCGGTTCCTTGAGCTCAGAAGTTCAGGGTCCAGAGGAGCAAACAGGCACGTAAAGGGAGAGTCACACTACAGCCTCGAACTGGTGCAGTACGAGCTAACACGGGCTCTGCTGGACACAGGCCCTTCCTCCTCCCTGAAGCCGGCCAGGCTTCCCCGAGGGGAGCTGCGCACGGGTGGGGTGGGATGGGAGAGGACAGGATCGAGCGCTCCGAACGCGAGGCCGAACGTCACACGATCGCGAGCCAACGGTTCCTGAAATTCGCTTTGATGTGCAGGTGCTCTGGATGACAAGCATGTTTCTGGGACGAATTATGCTCGCACACCAAGGTTTCACTGTACAAGGAATTCAAATTCACACCGGTCGCCGAAAGCCACGCTCTCTTCTGACGTCGTAAGCTGGTGTTCTCCAGGACGACAAGGAGGGAGGCCGTTCCAGGGTGAGGCACGACCCCGAGACCCGCGAGGGAAGTCGCAACTCGTGCCTTTTTTGTTTGCTTGCTTCTGTGTTGTCGTGGTGGAGGCTCGAATCCGGGCTGTCGGTGGAGGAGGTGCGGCCGGAGAAGATTCAGGAGCAAAGGGCAAGACGATTAAAAGACTTCATGGGCCTTACGGGACTGTCCAAGGATCGGGGATCACAGGGGGTTACTGAGGGTTTTCCCCTGGGGGGGGGGTGACCGGGTCGTAGCTCCGTCTGAGAAAGGTCACTCTGCCTGCCATTGAGAGGAGGGTGGCCAGAGGATCAGGGCAGGGCCTGGAGCCTAGCCTCGTGTCGCCGTCGAACGGGTGGGGAAGACGCGGTCCTGGACGGGGCATCAGTGGAGAGAGGAGCGGACCAGCTCCGAGGGGACGGACAGATGGTCTTGCCACCTCCAGCAGCAGAAAGCACCGAGGGGAGAGATGTGAGGGACAAGAGGCTGCGTGGGGCTGAGTCTGAGAAGCTGGGACGCTCGCAGGTGTTGCGTCCGGCACACAGATGGTGGCCGGGGGAACGTGGCAGGTGGGGCTGAGCGCAGAGGGAGATTAAGGAGGGGACGACAGAGACTCCAGACCCTGCTTCTAGACCTCAGGGCAGGGTCAGCGGGCCAGGGGGTCTCAGATGGACGCTGTGTCGCCCGCGGCCGCCTCATCACAGTCTCTCCCTGCCGCTTTCAGCTGAGTTTAGCACCGAGACTTGGCCCTTCGGCCACGGAACCTGTCTGCTGGAGGGGAGAGGGGTTAAGAGCCAGGAGCGCTGTTCTCCTCTGCGGTGTTTCCTGCCATTCTTTTCAAAACTTTGGATTGGGGCCAACGATTCAAGTCCACTTCGGTCAAGCACTGAGCTATTAGTCCATTTTTCTCAAGGTTCTAAAGGAGAAAGACTTAAATTAAGCGGCCAGCAGGGAGGAGGCTCCCAGCTGCCTGGAGTCTCCCCTCCTCCTCCCTGTCTTCCGGGTTCATCCAAAATTCTTCCCCAAGGAAGAGTCGCTTAAAGATTGGGGGTGATGGGGGGATGGGAGGGGAAGCCTCTCCCAAGAGGTCAGGTGAAGTCCCAATTTCAGAATCCACGTTGTGGGGTGGGGGTGGGGGGTTCAGGAGAAGTGGTTCCTCGGAGACAGTCCTCCGGCCTGCTTTTCCTAGATGGCTGGTTTCACTGAACCTTACACCCCCCTGCAGGAACAAGAATCACGAGCCCATTTTGTGGATGAGGAAACCAAGGCCCCGTGAAGCTGAGTCGAAGGCTCAAAGTCACACAGCCAGAAATGAAGTCCCGAAGGCGTCTCAGGTCTCTGAAATCCCAGGCTGCTGTCTACCTTCCAAACTCTCCCAGTCTAGAAGTCAGCGATTGCCCCCACCCTTACCCCACCTCCCCCGTTCCCCAAACGCGGATGAGGCCAGGACACCAGGGCTGGGCCAGGGGGCCTCTTGGTCTTCCCGGGGCGCGTTCTCCCCGGCACGGGCGACGGCCTGGCCGTGGAGCGCCTCTGGCACCTGCGGGTTCGCCCCCCAGGCTCGGGCTGCGGAGCGCGGAGAGTGAGCGCGCCGCGGCACAGGTGGGGCGGCGGCGCGGGAGCCCGGGGAGCGCGGAGGCGCGGGGGCGCGGGCCCGGGGTGCAGCGAGGGACGGAGACAGCGCGGCAGTGCCAGCCGCCGCCGGCCGCCTGCGGCCCCCGCCCCCTCGGTGCCGGCCGGCTCTTCGCTCCTCCGGCGGCGAACCAGACACGGCCGCGGCCGCCGCCGCCCGGCGCGCACCGGCCGCCACCTGCCCCCGGCGCCCGCGCTGGAGGGGCGCGACGCGGCCGCCGACCCGGAGGCGCTGGAGGAAGCGAGAGGGGTCCCCGCGCACTTCGGGCGCCGGCGCAGCGCACGGTGAGCGTTCCCCGCCCCGGGGCTCGGGGATTCCTCAGCCCCCGGGTGCCCGATGGGGTCACCCGGGGGACGCAAGGCTGAAGTTGGGACCGCGCGCAGCCCGCCCCCGCCGCCGAGCCCGACATGCTGCCGCCGGGGAGCAACCGCACCGCGTCCCGGGCGCGCTTCAGGCAGCAGCAGCTGGCGCAGCGGGGCTCCTTGGGGGGCTCGGAGGGGGCGGCGCCCCTGGGGGCAGCGCAGGTGGTCACCGCCGGCCTCCTGACCCTGCTCATTGTCTGGACCCTGCTGGGCAACGTGCTGGTGTGCGCGGCCATCGTGCGCAGCCGCCACCTGCGCGCCAAGATGACCAACGTCTTCATCGTGTCTCTGGCTGTGTCCGACCTCTTCGTGGCGCTGCTGGTCATGCCCTGGAAGGCGGTCGCCGAGGTGGCCGGTTACTGGCCCTTTGGGGCCTTCTGCGACATCTGGGTGGCCTTTGACATCATGTGCTCCACCGCCTCCATCCTGAACCTGTGCGTCATCAGCGTGGACCGCTACTGGGCCATCTCCAGGCCCTTCCGCTATGAGCGCAAGATGACCCAGCGCGTGGCTTTGATCATGGTCGGCCTGGCCTGGGCCTTGTCCATCCTAATCTCCTTCATCCCAGTTCAACTCCACTGGCACAGGGACAAGGCAGGCTCCTGGGGCGAGGCGCCACCGCCATCCGGCCCGGCCAACGGGACGCCCTGGGAGGAGTCAGGGGAGCCAGAGGCGAGGGCGGAAAACTGCGACTCCAGCCTGAACCGAACTTACGCCATCTCCTCTTCGCTCATCAGCTTCTACATCCCCGTGGCCATCATGATCGTGACCTACACGCGCATCTACCGCATTGCGCAGGTGCAGATCCGCAGGATCTCCTCTCTGGAGAGGGCCGCCGAGCGCGCGCAGAGCTGCCGCGGCCGCGCAGCCTGTGCGCCCGACCCCAGCCTGCGGGCATCCATCAAGAAGGAGACCAAAGTCCTCAAGACGCTGTCGGTGATCATGGGGGTCTTCGTGTGCTGCTGGCTGCCCTTCTTCATCCTTAACTGCACGGTCCCCTTCTGCAGCGGCCGCCGCGAGGGTCCTGGGGCCGGCTTCCCCTGCGTCAGCGAGACCACCTTCGACGTCTTCGTCTGGTTCGGCTGGGCCAACTCCTCCCTCAACCCGGTCATCTACGCCTTCAACGCCGACTTCCGGCAGGTGTTTGCGCAGCTGCTGGGGTGCGGTCACCTGTGCTCCCGCACCCAGGTGGAGACGGTGAACATCAGCAATGAACTCATCTCCTACAATCAGGACACCGTCTTCCACAAGGAGATCGCAGCTGCCTACATCCATATGATCCCCAATGCCGTGTCCCCGGGGGACGGGGAGGGGGACAAGGAGGAGGAGAGCCCTTTCGATCGAATGTCCCAGATCTCTCAGACGTCCCCGGATGGTGACCCTGCTGCTGAGTCTGTGTGGGAGCTGGACTGCGAGGGAGAGGTTTCTTTAGGCAAAATAACGCCTTTCACCCCGAACGGATTCCAGTAGAGTGCCCGAGAAAGGCCCCTTCTGGATCTATATAATTGCACAGACATTAACAAGCATGCAGAATACATACACACACACGTCCAGTGCTGTTCAGTTCATCTCATTTTCTGTGTCTGTGTAGGAGCCCATGTGCTTAGAAACGTCACCAGACTGATTTGTTGGTGTAAGAATTGGCAGAAGGTTTGGAATATATACTCCAGCCTAGCAGAAACGGACGGGGGGGTCCAGTTAGAGAAGAGAAGGCCGTGTTTGGTTCTTTAAAAAACAAACAAAAAAGTCGTAGTTGATCTTTAAAAAATATACTCGCCCTCCCTTTTACACAAATGAACTGTTCAGTGACTTGTTTTTGTCTGGTGGGTTTTTAGACAACAGGTTCTGTGTGTGTGCAGTGCTGATGGGGGTGCGGGTGACATTCCTGTATCTTGCTTCCTGTAGCCCTGTGTTTACGCAGTTTCTGCCCTCCGTGTGTATCTTTGGGACAGCTGGGGAACTCTTTCCGATTTGTTCTGGTGTCTAATAAACACAAATTATGTGGATTGGGGGGTGATTATCTTTGCTTTGCCAGACTGGAGTTTAGGATCGCTTCTGGAGAAGCCACGAGAGCATCTTTACAAGCAGGGAAGGTTTGGGCTTGGTCTGGAAGCACACATTTATTTTCTTAGCAGACAGGTTGGCCTTAAAGGTACACACAGGAGCAATTCCAATTGCTTCCAATTGAAGAGCTTCCAATTCCTCAGGTTTTTCTTTCTTCTTTCTTTCTTTTTCTTTCTTTCTTTTTTTAGATACACACTTTTCACGTCTGTGCTGAAAGCTGGCTTCAGTACTACGGCATCAGATAGGGACTTCTTCAGCCTGAAATTCTAATATTGTTTTCTCATTTGGAATCTTCTTTTTAAAAATAACATGAAATAATTCTCCCAGTTCCTAGGCAGATAGTTCTAGCATATCAGTTCTAGCATATCAGTTCATTGAAAAGATCATGCAGAATAATAGCTTTATCTTTCTCAATCTCAAACCCACAGGGTTTTAGAGTTATGTGGCTCTTGATCAACATTTCTGGAAGGCTTTGAAATGTGTGAGCGGACATGCTTTAAAAAACAAACCTCTGTTTTAAATAGACATTTTCACTTGTAGACGATGGGAAGTGAGGGCACGCGTTTCCACGAAAATGTAGGAGCCAGGGATGATATCTGAATGAACTTGAAATGGGAAAATCTATTGGCTGAAGTATTCCACAACAAAAAAGAGCCCAACGCATCCCAGTCTTTCTGTTCCTCTCTGCAGCCTGCACAGAAGAGGGGAGCGTTTTATTCCAGAAGCATTCCAGTTGAGAGCCTGTTCGTGCGAGATCTAAAGGCGAGCATTGTTCATGGAAGCAAATGAAATCTGAATGTGTAATTTCTTACAAGTCCCTACTTTGAAGCAGGCTTATCAAGGACAGTTAAATCCATTTTGGTCTCTTTAGGGATAATTTTTTTGCCGGTCTGCTGAACCCAACCACGTCTTGTTTGCTGCACGAGGTGTAGTGCTTGGCACATGATGCTTCGTAAATATTTGTTGAATGAACATTTCTGGAACGGTGAGATGGAAACCAAGTCCTCTTTGGTACCTTAATTTGCATGTATGATTGAGTCAAACTGGATTCAGAATCTGCAGTCTGTGTTCAATTTTTGACCTCGTGTGAACTGAAGGCTACGTGGACCATTAGGGAAACACTGGGGGCCACGGGAAGTGCCCTGCTCTCGGATTCGGAAGGGGGCTGTGTGACCTTGGGTGAGGCAAGTAACCTCTCTGGGCCGTACTTTCTGTAAGTTGAAACCCCTATGCTAGCACACTGTTTCCCAAATTGTTTTCCAGGATGCAGATGTCACGGACGGGGTCTCGGGTGAAGTAAGCTCAGAAAACCCGGCTACAGTATCTGTTTCCTCTACAAGGCTTCTTAGGGCTTTTCTGTGCAGCGTGGATCCCCAAGCAGGAGAGAATTCGGCCCTGCTTCCCGATGTCTTTGACCTTGTGAGTCCTCGTTTGGCTCAATTCCCTATTCCCTTCTCTCTGGAGACCACAGTGGCGGGGAACGCAGTTTGAGAGACCCTTACTGGTCTGGAAGTCTCTAAAGGGTAGCTAATCTAATCGAAAGGAACCGTTGTTGCAAGCAAGTTTATGTGTGTGTGTGGGGGGGGGCAAACATTCTAGGTCCCAGTTCAAACCATTTGTGTGTTAGGAAAAATGGGTTATGTGGGGACTTTGAAAGTCCCTTCTGCAAAGTGTCTCGAATCATTTCTTGTGATTATTTCCACCTACTATGTGCTGGGCACTGTCCTGGGAATCCAGTCACCGATCAAACGCTCTGGTGTCTTGAACTTGTGTTTCAGTAGGAGGGACACAGTGGAACTGAGCCCCGCATGGGACTCCGCCCCTCGTTGGGCTCCGCATGGAGCCTGGTTGGGATCCTCTCTCCCTCTGCTCCCCTCCCCGGCTCGCCCTCGCCCTCTCTAAAAAAAAAAAAAAAAAAAAAGGAGAGGCCCAATGCAGAGAGGCCCAGACGAAGAAGAAGGGTCGGGGCGAGGCTAAGGTCTAGGCCGAAGGGTGCTCCTGGCAGAGGGACGTCTGGAAACGGGGCCACGCACGGCAGCCGGGAGGAGAGCGAGGAGGTCAGTGCGGCTGGAGCCCTGTGGGTGGTTCCCGCCGAGAACAGGAATAGGCGACCACAGCAGGCGCTACGGGGGTGCGTCCTGCGCTGGGCACCACGCACGTGCTAATTCACGCTCATCCCCCGGCGGGGCAGGACCTTCGTCACCCCCATTTTACAGGTGAGGAAAGGAAGGCATCAGGAAGCTAAATAGCGAGCCCAGGGTCACACAGCCCCTGACTGGCTGAGCTGCACTTGACCTAGGCAGTCCGGCCACGGAGGCTTTCGTGTTCGCTGCGGTGGTGAGAAGGGCTGTCAGGGCGTCCCCAGTCAGCAGAGGCACTAACGCGGGGATCAGACGACTCCTCGCCCATTTGCTACTAGCTGGTTACGGGACACCGTCCTCTATCCACCCGTCAGCCAGCCTCCACCGCGCACCTGCTCTGAACACTGCCTCGCGTTCGGGGTGGGGAGGTGGCAGAGGGCAGCGGGACGCGTCCTGAGCCCTTCCGTGGGCGGCCAAGCGCTTTCCTGAATCTGTTTGGTCCTCACGCTAACCTCACGTGCTGTCTTCCGTCCATCTTCCCGGTGAGGACACTGAGGCACAGACAGGTGACGTTGCTCATCCAAGGTCACGCGACCACTAAGTCGCGGGGTCAGTATTTAAACCCAGGCCAGTGGTTCTCGGCCGGGGTGACTTTGTTTCCCAGGGGACACTTGGCCATGTCGGGAGACACTTTTGGGTGTCATACCTGCCTGTGGGGTGCTCCTGCCTTCTCGCGGGTAGGGGTCACGGCTCAACAGCTTACGGTGCACGCACAGGCTCCGCCACAATTATCCGGCTCTGAGAGGCCCTGACCCAGGCTGGCGGACTCCAGGTGCCTGCACTGGACCCACAGAGTGTTACACTGCCCAGGCTTGAGGCTCCGCAGAACCGAGTTCAGACTGTAGTTTCTACATTTATTAGTTGTCTGCATTCGGGCCCCTCTCGTAGCGTCAGTTTCTTTATCTGAGGAATGGGTACATTAGCCCCAGGGGTTTGGGTCGGGATGAAATGAGAGCGCATGATACCGAAGTTGTTTGTTTTCCTTCTTTTTCCTCTTCTTTCTCCTTGTTCAAAGAACTCCACGGCTCGATACATTCTGAGTGGACTTGGAGGTTCCCAGCTCGTGGAGAGCTACATCATCCTAGAAGCGAAGGCCACAAGAGCTGAGCTCCATTCTGTCTTGGCCGCACCGTCCTCTTGGCCTAGAGTAGCGTCTGGGGTGGAGGCGGTGCTCAGTACGTGTCTGTTTCCGCCTCGGAGGCGCGCCAGCGCGAGCGCGCACGCGCAGACCGGGCTTCAGTGCTTCCGCTGAGTAGCTAGGTGCTTACGCAGCAAGTCCCGGTGGTATTGCCCATTGCGGGGTGCTGGTCCTCGCGTTGGGGGCTGATCAAAGGCCTGCACGTCCCCACAGGAAGTGGGAGGAAGTACGGCACCCCCGGACGTGCTCTTTTGTAACTAGCAAAGGGCCTCCAGGAGGCCGCGTTTCCTGCTGCGTAGATTCTGACGTGCGCTCTGGGCAGGGGCACCACGGGGGCAAGGCTGTGACCCTCTTAGAGCGTCGCGTCGGGGGCACACGCTGTTGATGCCCAGTACTGGCGATGTCAGTCTTGATCGCGGCGCTCTGGCAGAACCCACTACAGAGTTACTAAGGTTACTTGGTACTTGTAACGAAGATACTTGATAGGCGTCCTCCGGAGAGATACTTTGAGGTTCCAAAGACACCCCAGGATTCTTCCTCAAACTTTCACCCCTTGGTTTTGGCATCTACTAACCACCCTTCCCCGAATCAATTATTATCGTGCTGGCCAGACGGTGTGTTTAAAAAAATTCCATCACTGGGGCGCCTGGGTGGCTTAGTCAGTTAAGCATCCGACTCTCGGTTTCCGCTCAGGTCATGATGTCACGGTTTCACGAGTCTGAGCCCCACATCGGGCTCTGTGCAGACGGCACAGAGCCTGCTCGGGATATTCTCTCTCTGCGCCCCTCCCCTGCTCACGCTCTCTCTCAAAAATAAATAAAGAAACTTAAAAAATTCCATCATTGTTTTATTGCTGGTTTTTTACTGTAAGGGAGGGCATTTATTATTATTATTTTTTTATTTATACCTGTGTAGACTCTTGAGTTCCTAGTTTTTATAATAGGGTATAATCCTTTCCTCTCCACGTTTATTGTGAGGTTGACATTGTCTCAGATTTGGCCAAGTGGGACCACTTTCGAATTGGCGTCTGTGTCCTTTCGATACGCTGTCATTATTCTTTGGGCACTTTGCTTTTTTTTTTTTTTTTTTTTTTTTTTTTTTCTTTTTTTTGGCCCAAGACACTCCAG